GACGCAAAAGTAATTTTAATGAAGTTTTTATAAAATCTACTGGTTCTGCAGGAAGAATCAGTTATGTTTTTTATTTTTTAAAAAAAACTTTTTGTTAGACTATGAATATATTACTACTTAATGACTAGTCATTAACCAATTTTTTATATATTTTAAAAAGAACGATGAATCGATACTTCATGGATTAAAGAACTCTTATTATAACGACCTTTACGATCCTTGAGCACTGACTAGAAATGAAGAAGAAATGACACTAGCAACGAAAGAAAAACTGTTGAACAGAGTAACACTAGCGACAAAAATAAAACCCACTGGATAATGCCAGCAGTATAAGAAAAAGCACCGAATAAAAAAGTATGAAGCTGGTTGAAGTGTAGTTCATGTAGAATGTATTGTATCAGTAGTACTAGTCGAGACTGTACGGTAAGAATGTTTAATTGTATCTGAACAGTTATAGAGATGTTGTATGATAACTCTCTACAAGTATTAATACTGCCTATACTATTCTAACCAGAATACATTAGCTATAATAACCAAATCCTAATATTGGTATGGCTTCGATTGAGGCGTGGAAAAAATTGGTTCGAGTAATCAGGGTTAATTGGGTTTATAGCAGTAGTGTGGGGGTCAGATAAGTGTTCTTTGCTTTTGTTAGGTAATTTTGTCGATTTCGTATTACTTTACTAAGGCTTTTATTTTATCATTATTAGTTACGATGTTGCATAGTCACATGGTCATGATCCCGATCAGTTACGTGAGTATCGATTTTTAAACAATAAGGTAATCACAAGTTTAATCAATTTTAATTTATTATATAAAGGATTTGATTGCTGATTACTACTATTTCTCTTTTTTATTCAAAGCGAAAATGGGACATGCGATAGCCACGGATACAAGAATGAATGATAACGACAAATGGCAATAAACGATTTTAACAATGCAAAGGGAAACTTATTTAGGCACAAACACTTCTATTCAGGACCTAAAAGGGTTTCGAATTCGAGAGTTAATTTTTATTAAAGGTGATTCTACACTGCTTTTATACATTATTTTTGCATATAACGACATATCTAATCTGTCGCTAATATCTAATATCCTGTTTTTCGCCCTATCACTAATTTTCTGTTATTTCAATTATCCCTAATATCTGAGAAATAACGGCTATACTTCTAACAACCAAGACAACAAAGATCTCTAAAATCATGGAAATCCTTGTGATTTTTGTGATTTTAGGGATTCTTGGGCTTGTGTTACTTAGGTGGCAGTGATCGTTACACTCAAGTTTTTTCCTTTTACAACGGTTAGAAATACTCTAATCAATTTTAATTAAAATTATTCTAGATGCATTATTGATCTAATGAACCACTACTAACCCAGATCAAATAACAAACAGATTTCTGATATGTCATGGCTTGATCATGTGGAAGATATGATTTCTCAGATCCACGACCATTGGCTAAACATGTGTGTAAAAATCATAAAAGAAATTAAAAGATTGTCTACCAAGGTGAGTAAATTTTAATATTAGAATTTTTGAATTTGTTACATTGGGTATCTTTGTATTATCGGGTAATTCGAGTCACCACATCTCAAAATAAGGAATAAAATATTTGGTGAGTTTATTACTACTTTCTTTAGTGCCATTAAAATAATAATTTTTGCATGTTTTTATATATTACTACATCTTATTAATGTTCTGATAACGGTTTCAATTAGAGTTTCCCGCCACTTCCATTACCCGATCGTTTTTCTTAACTGAAGTCTTATTGCCGTTATTTAAATCCATCACAATTTGAAGATACATCGAGTTCTCAAGCACGATCATTGATTGTGACACCTTAACTTTGGTATTTTACCCATAACATCCTGGCGTTATTAAATGGCTTTGTAATTTTGAACTTCAGTATATAAAGGTGAGTTACACAGTCATACGTTTGTTCATCTCGCACTGCCAGTTTAGCTTATCACTAAAACTCTCATCCGATTTTTTAGGTTCAAATAGCATTTCATAACTGTCAACGAGTTCGCTGTCTTGTTCTATACTTTGGGTTTAACCCTTGCGTTTATTATTTTTATTTATCTTATATATTTGTTTTTGTATTTATCTTATTTATTTATTTATTTTATTTATTTTTTTATCTTTTTATTTTTTATGCCAACTGATTTATTCAAAACGATATAAGTATCCGAGCCTGATTCATTTTTTTCTTTTCCATGTGCTTCAGTTCATTCAAACTTTTAACCGACATTTACTTTTTATATATAAATTTGATTTAGTATACAAGAAGCCAAGCTATGTCGCCATCCCATCTTTTGACTCTTATGTTCGGAGTTTAAACAACTAGTTTAGTTCTACATATTCTTTTCCCACCTTAATGTTGTCCAGGATTTTTCAGGTATTATTTTTTCACTTTCGATTATTATTTCCATTCCACTTGACCATTTTTCTAAATTTATTTATTATTTATTGATCTTTTTGTTAAATTTATCAATAAACAAGTCAAATAAATTTATATACCTTGAAACAATTTATTATTTATTTACAAGTTTGTTAAATTTGACCAATTTTTGAAAAAATTTTAGATAGTTTGCGAGTCTATATATTATTTTTTATGCGATATACGATGTAGAACCTATTAAGAATAGTTATACACGTTTCCGTAAAGTCGTTGTTTATTGATAGAGATTCATGAAAGAATATCAAGCATATATTTTTTCTTAATTCAAAGTGGGCTATGTCTCGAAAATTACTGATGAATAATGAGTTTAATCGACAACATGTGACAGATAAGGTCATGTCGACCAATCGGATAATAAATTTGCGGAAGTAAATCATTATTCCGTCGGTAAGCCTTACTAAACTTTTTAAGAGTATGCGAATTATTTAGTAATTTGATTAATAATCGTGAGAAACCGGCCATAAATAATAATTATTACTAATTATCGTTATTAATAGTGTGTAATCGAAATATTACGTTAAATTTAGGCCTTCGTTTTAAAATTTCTAGCCACGTGATCTAAAATGACGGTTACGTAATGGTATTAATAATCAGTGCAACAGTGCCCTGTAACATTATTTAAAAGCAGTAATTTTTGACCAGACATACATCTTCAAATTTTGTAGAAAATGAGTAAAGTATTTTTAGTAACTGGTGGTGTAAGTAAGATACAGTAGTATGTTTTTGAGCACAAAATAAATTTTTAAAAAAATTTTATTAATAATAACAAAGAATAAAGGGATTGGCTATGCAATCGTACGAAATCTTGCTCTGAACTATGCCAACTCATCTCCATCTCAGCCTCTTACAATTTTGTTGACGGCACGTAATCCAACACTAGGACAAAATTCAGCAGATAAATTGCGTGACGAATTGAAGCCTAATATTTTAGTAGATGATGGTGGAAATGTAGACTTGAAATTTTTGAAATTGGATTTAGTCGATGAACAAAGCATTAAGGATGTTAAAGAAGTTATTGAGAAGGATTACGGAGGTATAATATATCGTATTATTGTATGGCTAAAGATTCATAAAAATCTATATATTAACTATTTGCCTTTATTGGTTTTTTAAAGGACTTGATGTTTTAATTAATAATGCGGCTATTGGTAAATTTCAATATAACAATACAGTAATTTAAAAATTTTTTAACATAAAATATATCGTACTAATATATTTTTTAATTCACACAGCATTCAAGGGAAATGCATTTGATGTTAATGTTGTTCGCACAACGTTTGCCACCAATTTTTATGGTACACTTAACGTATGCAATATTCTATATCCGCTTATTCGACCAAATGGTCGTATTATTAACATTTCAAGTAGAGCTGGAAGATCAAGTAATTTAAGTAGTACTTTGAAACAAGAATTTTCTAAAGAAGATCTAGATATAGAGGGGTTAACAAAGTTGCTTAAGAGATTTGAGGTTTGTATCCAATCTCTGAAACTAATGATAAAATAATAATAATTGATCTTACAGAAAATAAAAACTCATTAGGATGCCGTAGAGAGAGATAAATATTTAGAGGAAGGATGGCCCCGTCAAGGTAAAATTATATTTAACATATAACTTTACACATATTATTCAAAATATAAGTTATCAAAAATTATAAATTATTTTTTGATTAAAAGCTTATGGGGTGTCCAAAATTGGAGTAACAACAATGTCAAGAATTTTGGGTCGTCGCGCTGATAAGGAAGGTAATAATATTAAAGTATTTGCATGTTGTCCTGGTTGGGTAAGTTCAATATTTCAACTTATTATAAATTAAAAAAAGTAAAAAGTATTGATAATTTACTGAACATTTTTCATGTTTATAGGTTAAAACAGATATGGCTGGTGATAAGGCATCACTCACTCCTGGTATGTATATTAATTATAGTTTTTTGATATATCACTTGAAAGTTTTGGCGTTAACATAATTATTTCTCAAAAGATCAAGGTGCAGAAACACCGGTATTTCTTTCTCTCGATGAAACAGTTGTCCCTAAAAGTCCAAACGGAACTTTTTGGTTTGATAAGCAAATCGGTGCATGGTAAAAATTTTATGTCAAAAATCTAAATTAAATTTAAAACTTCAGAACTACGATGGTAGATCTAAAATAAATATTTAGCGATAAACAACAATTTGTATAGAATTATTATTTATTCTAGATTAAACGGTTTATACATAAATGATGCAATACACGATATATATATATTATTACAGTATTAAAAGTTCAATTTGGATTTTATGATACCATAAATTCATTACTGTTTTGTATCCTCGGCTGAATATGGAGGTGGAGGAGTTAGTGGTACGGGCAGTTCCGTTTCTTGTCTACTCTCTCTTCTTTCCCTATTCACATCATGTGTCTCTTCATCGCCTTCGTTTTCTGATAAATTTTCCGTATTATTACGCATTCTCCTTTCCCAACTAAATTTTCCAGTTGAATAATATTTTTTAATTTGATAACACCGATAACAGCCGCAAATAATTATTAAAAGAATAACAAGTGACCCAAATAAAAATGCAATTAAGCAGTAATTCCCACAATCTCGTCTACCGTTGCTGCTGTAGTACCAAAATACCCACGAAGGTTTGTAACTACGCTTTTGTAGAATTACGCTGTCATAGGTTTTAACATCCCCAGAATTATGGTTTGTTATGGGTAAAGCAAATGGTTCGGCACAAAAAAGTAGTAGCTGTAGAAAAACTTTTATAAGAGAAACCATTATTAAACTGGATCGAGTTTTTAGGTAGTATATATTTTGCTTTTGATATATTTATATTTGCTTTTTATTATATTGTCTAGTATTTGCCTATATAATAAACGATGAAAAGACAATTATGAAACTTGGTTCAGTACTTAACAAATAAGAAGTACATACCATACTAAATTTCGATAAAGAACATACTAAATAGTATCAACACAAGATTGCTTATGGTTATTTTCCGGGAGGCAAACGTTTTTGGCAAATTGAGCAAAACTTTAACTTAAATAAGTTACTGACAAAGATTGATAATCATCACCTGTGATTGATATTAAAATATTTTCAATGATGCATTTATACGTAATTTCTCAATTACGTATAACATCAGTTCTTTCTATATATACCCAGTGTGCTTTTTTTTAAAAAAAACCTTTTTAGTTGCCATTGTATTTCAAGCACCATTGAGCAAAGATTGCACAATCATCCAGGTAACACCGGTTAATAAATTTGTGTATGTATGTACGTATGTACGTACGTACGTACGTACGTACGCACGCACGCGCCTAGTTTATTTTCATAAGATAGTTGCGTAACGCAGTTGCGTGAAACCAGGAATGGGGATATAATAGAATTCAAGAGATTAACATTAAAAAAAACTAATAATAGCTTTCACGGCTTATAATCTCAATGAATCGCAAACTTGTTTTAATTATTTAATAGTTAAAAGAAAGCTGGAATCTTAAACTTATTAATTCATAAAACTATCTTTGAACCACATCAAATTATAAGCTGTAAAAGTCAAGAAATTAATGTTTTTGGAAATATAAATTTGCTTGATTTCTTTTATGACCGCTTATGTTGCGAATTGTCAACCTAAAGTTATAGACCGTAAGAAGTAAACGTTTCATATTCAATAAATAACACAGTAAAGTGACTTTCAATAGGGAACCTCCACAAGTAAAATAATATTCAACGCAAAATTTAACACCATTGGTATCCTATTGCCTACGAATTTTGGCGCAAAAGGAGGTCAATAGTGTTACCTGATTATTACCAGTTTGATTTCATATTGAATAAAATTTTTACTGACCTGAACTATTTAATCAATATTACGTTACTATTTATTATAATTAGCTAACCCTATTGATCCCTTTTTCACCAAAATCCGTAGACAATTGAATATCAATAGGGTTAACTTTGAAAGAAATCAGGCAACCTATTGACTCCTTATTGAATATCATTTTACTATTGCTGCCAATTTTTGGCTTCAAAGAAGGTCAATAAGATATCAATCAGGGTAATAATATTCTATAGGGTATCAATAGGATACCAATAAGGTACCAATAGGATGACTATGTTTTTCAATAGCGTTTTTACTGATTGTAAATTGTTTAGTCAATAGTTACCAATCGGAGACCAGTGGAGTGCCAATAGGGGTATTAAGTCTTCAATAAGGTTGTAATCAATAGTTAGATAGATTCGGATTGAGTTTTATTTGGGTTATTTCATTATGTTAAAGAAAAATAAAGATAGATCTTAGTTAGAAATAGTTAAGAGTTGTGCAGGCTAAAAACTCTTAGTCTGTCTGGTAATAAAATTATTAGAGGCACATTATTATGATCATGAATTGCCATCTGTAATCATGATTATTCAAATTAAAACTCAGCTTTCTACCAATCATGATTATTAAATTTCCAGATAACATCATTATTGGGCAAATTTTTGAATATGATAATATGCCCTGGTTAGAGGTTGTAACTGGTTTTAATAATTCGGGTTTATCACATGGATTTTGTGATATTTTAGGACTTATTAAAATTTTAATTGGATAAATTTTTAAAATATTACAAAATTCACATAATAAACACAAAATAATTAAAACTGGTTCTAACCTCTAGATCTAGTTTGTCAAATTACTATTATTTGACGAATTTTATTCAATATTATATTTTTATAGATTTGATACAAAATTCAAAAAAAAATTCTAATTCATAAATTAGAAAGCTAAACTCTTAAAAGAAAATTACAAATAACTATAATTTTAAGATTATGGGTTTGAGATTTTATAGCTTATTTGTTAAGTTTCTAGATCCTTATATACAAGATCAATAGTTCAAGTTAAGTTATAAATATTTTGAAAAAATATTTTTATAACTCAAATAAAATGTTATAATCAAATACAAAAACTTGTATAAAATCTAAGTGCAAGTACATATTTGAAGTAAAAATTCTTAAAAGAATACCTAATTATAAAAAAAAGGTATTATATATATATATATATATTGGTGTTAAGATGACCTCTTTGGTCTAATTAATAATTGTTAACATTATACTAAAATTCTTTTTTTATATAATATAGGACAGTAAAAAACATCCAATCTATACATATAAATGCTAATTTTTGGTACTTATATAATCAATTCTGATTGGCTAATTTTTGTGTAATTGATTTTTTTTTTTTTAATATTAATGGTGAGGCCATGCCTCTATCTTTATTGAATATTTAATTGAGATTTTATATAAAATACA